TCTATTTTTTTTGTCTTGTTTTTTATTTATTTTGATTGTCTTGTTTATCTTTTATTTTGATGATTTACAATACCTTTAGTATACGAGCCAAGTGCTCTAAGTGCTCATCCCAAGTGAAAGAATGAACGAGCCGATAGACTCATTATGCAAACTTTTAGTAGGCTTGAATTTAAGAAGGTCTTGTCTAACTTGACGGCTGAGCTCTTAAGAGGGACTGAACTCTTGTCATTTATTTTTTACCCCGCCTGGCGTGGCCCTAGCCTTGTTAGGGTCACGCTGGCCCTATGGAAACCAATGTCAGGGCTCGGCCCATTGCCACCTTTACCTCAGTTTGGGGCTATCGGGTTGCGTTCATGTATGTTACGCATACATGGTAAAAACATGAGGGGATTCTAGGGTTAGGGTTGTTAATTAGTTTGATGTAATTTTTCCAATCTTATTGATAAAATCCGGGTAGGGGCTTCTCCCCCACGGACTCACCCGAAAGAAAAAGAAGGTAAAAACAAAGAGGGGATTTCGTGATCGGGTGGACGGTGGAGATTACCAATCAAAGGAATGACGTGTCTTCTACGCTGTCCATCTCCTGAAGGGACGGCGAATGGTCAACCTTCTCTGCACATGTCCAGCCTAAACATCATGTCGATGCAAAACACTTTTCATTTGTCAAAACAATCAAATGTATCAAAGGGCCAGGCGTGCCCTCAGCCACATACTCATTTTCTCTCTCTTCCAGTAAACAAATTTTGTCCTTTTGTAATGTCTAACTCATCATTCATTTGTCTCACTTAAGTATTTTTTACGGGAAATATACAGTGACATTTCATAAAAGGTGGTCTGAATGCGCAAAATGTGGTGGTTACATTTATTTCATTTCAAAATTTAATTTTTTTTTTTTTGAATTTTACGATGCTTTTTCGTTATTATATTTCACTTCGGATGATCGTAAGTAATTGTGACCTCCTTATATTAAAAAGTAAATAGTCTTATTGTTTATTATCCTATTTTTCATTCTCTTTTAAAAAAAAATTACATAATATGACCATTCTTTTAAGGAAAATGTTCCAAATAAGTTAAGGACTATTCTTTTAAGAAAAATGTTCAAAATAAGTGAAGCCCCACCTCAAAACTCAATGAAAATTGTAATTATAGGGGTTACGAAACCTTCAAATTGATTATTTGGCTTTGACTATTATGGTTATAAAAAAAAAAAAGATTTCAAGCTTTAAAAATAGTATACATTAAAACATATTATCTACACCATCCATTTCACTCTAAAAATAAGAGTTCACGTATCTGCAAGATATGTACTATTTTTTAACTTATTGTAACATATTTATCTATACCATCGATTTCACTCTAAAAATAAGTGTTCACAAATCTATAAGATCTGTTCCATTTTTAGAGCTTTAAATTTTATAATCGATGTTATAAATTGATTTTATTGCCTTCCTATAGATTTTTGATACCCAAAGTGCTTTTTGAACGAAGTTTCAAGGCGAGGCTCTACTTTGTGTTCATCAAGCCTAGGCCTCATTGAAATTGTATCGTCCTTTAATACGTAACCTTGATTAAATATTATAAAGTTGCAACCTTACATAAGGCTTTCACATAAGGCTTTCTTTTCTTCGAGGAAAGGAAAACTCATAAATCATCTCTCTTTCTTTCTCATACATACATCTACACACACAATTTTGGTATGACAACCACCAAAATATGAAAAACAATGTAAGAGTAATATTTGTCTCTCTTGACTACCTTTGTTCGGACCAATATTCCTCTCTCCTTTTATATGAAGGATCTCAAGGGCTACATTCAAGTCCTCACAAAACGTTTTTTTCTAAATGGAAGTCCTCATGAAACTTACATTTTATTTCTACTTTAAAAAGAAAAAAGGTGTGGTTTCTACAACTTTAAACAATCCCATTAAGGCGCATCTCGAAATTTTAACATATCATGTAATTTTGGTGTAAAAAATTATTAAAAATATCAAAAAATCTATTTTTATATCTAATTATAAAATTTTAAATTTACAAAATAGTTTAAATCAAGTAGATCTATAAACATATGAAAATCTTGAAAACGGACAGTCTAGATAATGTGTTGCAAGATGCACCATTTCTAGGACTCAAATTTTTATTTTTTTTTATATCTGTACATCTCGATGTCAAGATGATCAATTAGAGGGTTTTTCAACATTAAAATGACATTTTCTAATGAATTTTTGAGGTGCATCTTTAATTCTACATTTTAAACTTAGAACCTTATATAAACTTTTTCCAAAAAAGAATCAATCACACGTATGTTTAGTATCTTACGAACAATCACTGCCATTCTCTACATAATTAGCGAACTATAGCATGAAATATCTTAACATTTTGTCTACTTTCAACTATTCTGATTTGATCATGCGCGTTTAAACAAGTAATTTTAAATCAAGGAAATGAGCGGTTTGTAAAAATCAAAGAAATGAGCGATTTGTACAAGGTCTTAACATTTAAGGAAACTAGTCACACTGTTCATGTGCGATCTCCCTACAAAATTAGTCTCAAGGATGCATTGTCGATCCAAAATTTTGGAGTTCAATAATCTCAACATGACAATGATCTAAGTTTAGAAAAAAAAATTTCAAAAAATAAAAATGCTATTTTTTGAATTCCTTTCTCCATTCATTTCAACTTTTAGTGAATGTAACATTTTTTGACATCCATCTTAGATATGGACGTTAGACAAAGGGACTGTATGGTAATAGGTGAGTTGGCCAACTCACCAAAACCGTGTGCTAACTTTAAAAAGTAAAAAAACGTTTATATAAGATTGCAACCTTATACTTTTGAAGTAAGGTTTACCTCAAAAATCCTACAATGGAGAGTTTTTTGGCATAGAAGAACCTTCAAACTGATCATCACGACCTTGAGATAAATAGACATGAAGAAAAGAAAGAATTTCAAGTAAAAAAAATAATGCATCTTATAACAAATTATCTGGACCATCTATTTTCAAGATTTTAAGTGTTTTTTTGATCTGCTCAATCTGTACAATTTTAGAAGTTTTAAATTTTATAAATGAGGATAAAAAGAGATTTTGAAGCTATCATAAGTTTTTCATGCCGAAACGACATCTCTAAGTAAATTTTATAGGTGTACCTTACTTCTACAGTATAAAGAGGCAGTCTTATACAAAACTCAACCTAAGACGCCCCATAAATTTGCTAAAATATTCCATTCAAAATTTCTTTCAACACCTAATTATAAAATTCAAAATTCTATATATTTAGCAGGACTATTAACGCTCAAAAATTTAAAAAATGCAGGATCTAGACAAAGGCCTCGGGGCTAAATAGTCATTTTGATGGCCGTCCAACACTTGGGTGCGATATGCGTTATCGTACGTGCGAGAGGTACTTCGGGATCATGCCTCTGTCGCCGCAGAACGGTCAAATAATATGGCCGTTGGAGGGTAGGAACATTATTCTTTTCCATTATTTTATGCATTGTCTTGGTACATGGACAAAGCCCTTTAAGGAAATATATATTTTACTATAATAACGCTTGTTAACGCATTTGTTTCCATTAGAGATTTTAAAAACGGATTAGTGATCCAGATTAGGTATTTCAAAAAACGGTTTGGATTAGTGAATTCGCGGTTCGGGTCGTTGTTTTACTGTACAGAAAAAGTAATGAACAGGCGAAAAAACACAAAAAAAAGTGAAGAGAATTGACGGTTGTGCAAAGTGCAAAACCATTGTTTCTCTTCTAGACTTGGCTATTTTTTTTATAGATACATAGAGTTGGAATAGAGTGACTTATTCTTGAGTCAGATCAGGTGATCGTGTGCCAACCCAACATTTTTTTTAAATCATTGATTTGTCATGATAAATAAAATATAAAAAATATTTACAATAAGACCATTTTCTTAAATGTTACGAGATATTTCAACTTATTGGATCTAAAACTGATAGTGACAATCCTTAAAATATAGTGATTTCTTTTGAGAAATGATCCTATGAGACCCTCTCACACTAATGTGTGTAAGACCTCAAATGATCACTATTAAATTTGGTAGAGAGTTTTAAAAAAATCAAGTCCCACACACATTTAATAACTTTTTTAAAGACCTGTACCAAATTTAATGGTGATCCTTTAAAGTCCTACACATTTAGATATAGAAGGGTATCGTAAGATCATTTTTCACAATAACGTGAGCTTTGCATACAAAGTGGGCTTTATCAAGTTTCCTAGTTATAAAACAACGCATCTCCCTTGATTTGACAAGCTACAGGTCAGGACTCTCCGAATATTTTTGGAAATAGAAAATCGTCACTAAGTTTACTGTGGCCATTTCTCAAAAAATAATAATAATCAAGCGTTTTTTAGAGCTTCTTTTTTTCCAATTCCAAATGAATAGACGAAATAGATTCTTCTCGACTTCAAACCGCACCGACTTTAACATTTTCCTTCTTTTCAATTTCACATTTTTTAGTACTCATTTTCCTTAGGCGCTAACTATATACTATACGTTGGATAATAAATAAAGGATGGTGCCAGATGTTGGAATAGCTGCCTATGCTATGGTGTATGTTTCTAGGTCTTGATCACGAAGGTCCTAATCGTCGATAAAATTGCTATACGGCCTCGGCTATGTGAATATGTGAAAACAACGTTTCACCTCAAATTTTTGTTTGGCCAATGAAAATCATATAATAATACTTTAAATCAATTTTCATTATCGATTTTAAAATTTGAAGCTCAAAAAATAATAAAAGTTTCACAGATTCGTAAAAATTTACTTTTAGGGAGAACGTGAGGCTTTATTTTTATTTTTAACTTAAAGCTGCGGCCTTATCAAAACATTTTCAAATAAATCAAAGAGGCATTTTCAAATAAATCAAAGAGGCATAGTTACTATATTTGGTAATAAGACTCTACAACCCCTCCGGATTTGAGAGGGCCCTATGAACTGGAATTAAGTGAACGTTGAGATCCGCCCGTGGAGTCAGTTTTAGGTCCAGGAGTAACGAGACCCACACCTTCATAATTCGCATAAACCGTGCCCATCTCTGATGACCCACATTCACCCATCTTCCAAAGTCGGCCATCGTCCCTCTCCTAACCTCTCGTACCATTTCTATGTAAAAAACCCACCCTCTCCCTTCTCCACTTCATTACCCCTGTTCACCACTTGTTCACTTCCCCGTAAAATCTTTCCGACCACTCTCTCAACCGTTTCCCTCTCTGACTCTGGTTTTTTCGGCGATATTTTCAGGACTAAAATGGCGAAAAGCGTGATCCTTACCTTAAAAGTCCTTTTCCTTTCAATGGCGGTTGTCTCAACCGCTATCTTTCTCAAGTTTAGCCTACCTGTTCTCATGGAGTTTATGGCCTATGAGGTTCCCATCCTCTGTGATCAAATCAAAGGCTGGTTGACTCCTCCCTACCTTTACATAGTCATAAACTGCATCATCATCACCATTGCAGCTTCTTCGAGCTTTCAGCAAAAGCCAGAGGAAAACAACCAGGAGCCATTGCTTGATCAGAAACGAGCGGAAATTCGGAATGATTATGGGATTCCTGCAATCCATTCACCGGAGTTTGAGATCCCGACAGAAATCAAGCGACCAAGTTTTGAGATTACAGCTACTAAGAAGAGCTCTAATGAAGAAGAAGAGGATTTCTTGTCGAGAGGTGAATGGTGGCCAACGAGGCGGAGTTTTCCGATGGTTGATTCGCTCGAAAATTCATGTGTTACAGAGGAGAAGCCGCCGGTTTCAGTGAGGTTCAGTCACCGGAAAAGTGTGAAGGCGAGTCCTGAAGGTAAGATGTCAGACATGACTCAGAACTCTTAACACGGGGACCTCAGAGTCTCAGAGCACAGGAACTAAAAATCTCCTACTCGATGTTTGTAAGATTTCGAAAGTACCCTCCGTTTTTTATTTACTATTGCGGTCCCTCTAATAGCGGCTATGATTTTAAAAAAAAAAAGAAAAAAAGAAACAGAAAAAGTATTTTCTATTTAATTAGCAAAGTTTCTACATATTGTTCTTAGATGTAAACTTGAAAATTTGATAGTAGTCTCAGGTTCAATCAAGCATCGGATTGATGTTGGTTTTTTTTTTTAAACCTTTTTTTGTGTTTTTATTTTGAAAGTATTTTGGATTTTATTTTTAAATTTTTCTTTTCAATTTAATTCTGTTTACTATATTCCAGAAATTAATCATCGTTGCGTAACGGTTATATTATCGGAAAGCAAATTGGCTTTTTGGAGTCGTTCAAATTTTCAAAAGCGCCCTGCCACTTATACTAATGAGCGTTTGGATCTTGACCGTTAAAACCACGCAGCGATCTTCACCGTCCAGATCGCCTATAAAGTCTGTGCAAGAAAAATAGCACTTTTTGCTTAGAGTTGTAGTCCATTATAATATGTGAGGACAGATGTTCGAATTTTTTTATTTTTTATTTTTTATTTTTTCAAATTTGGCCTCTCAACATCGAACGGCTTAAAAACCCCGATATTTTTTTGCCGACTTTTATTAATTATCCACACTAGTTTCAAACTTTTATTCGTTTCGGAATTTTTTTTCGAAAAACAGTGAATATCTGTTTGTTTGTTTCGATGGTAATCGCCAAAGGTTCAGTGACATTTCGGCTGGAGCTTATCCATCCCTGAGACTGAGCCGAAAACCATATGTTGCGTTGTTATTGGCAGGAGGCAGAGCGGGCCTAGGGGTATCCCGGCCCAAGCGACACGAGACTCTCGAAAGCACGTGGAAAACCATTACGGACGGCCGCGCCATTCCTCTCGCTCGCCACCTCAAGAAATCTGACACGTGGGAGACACACGGGCGATCAAGGATGAACGATTCATCGTCACCTCTGATGAAGAAATCTGACACGTTCGATGAGCGCCGGAGTTTGGCCGGAGAATCTACACCATCCCCCGGTTCCGGTAAGGGCCTTAGGAAGGACCCTTCGCTTAGTCAGGACGAGCTTAATAGGAGGGTTGAGGCTTTCATTAAGAAGTTTAATGCGGAGATTAGGCTGCAGAGGAAACAGTCCTTTCAGACTTACATGGACATGGTTAATCCCACTACTAATAATTAAGGGTAGGGTTGATTTTTTTTTCCTTTTTTCTTTCAATACCTCCTCCTCCCTTTTCCCTTTTTTTTTTTTGCTTTTTTTTTGTGTTTTTTTGGGGAGGAATTTGGGTGAGCTTGGTTTTAGCAATGCGTGCGTGCAATGACATGTTGCATACTTTTGGAATGGGGAAAGGGGTTACTTATATAATTACATGCTGTAATGTAAAAAGACAGATCAAAGGGTTTCTTTGCGTTTCTTTTATGAAATTGATCGGCAAATCCATTAAGTTGTTGGCTTTGCTCTGATGGAAATCGTTGGAAAGGGCCATCCCTTTCTTATTAAGAGATTTGTTGGGATTGTCGTTTGGGTTTTGGCTTTTATGATTCAAATTTGTGGGATTATCTCGACCCATAATGAATAATATGAAATTGTCATCAGGAGAGTTATTTATTTATTATTATTATGATTAGAGTAATGATCCTATCAAACTTTTTCACACCCATAAGATCTACGGTTAAATTTGGTAGAGATACCTAAAAAGGTCCATAAAAGACTTTTTCTAAAAATGTGTATTAAATTTGATGGCACTCCTTAAAATTCTAAACACATGGGTATGGGACGGCCTTATAGAATTATTATTATTATTATTAATATTATTATTATTAATATTATTATTATTTAATTTACCATGAATAATATGAAATAAATATAAAAAATATGGTGAGTGTTGATTGAGCTTTTGTTCGCCCCTAGAGTCGTCCAAATAGTCGAGCTAGACGGCGGGCACTAGGGGACTCTTTCTAGTGTATATCCGCAAAAGGAGCAATCCGCCTTGACGCATATATTTACGTTCCCCTTCTCTCTAATGTAGATATGCGCCCTTACTCTCGCTCCGCCTTGTCGCATATATTTACGTTCCCCTTCTTTCTAATGTAGAAATATACATGCGTGGTGAGCTCACCGGATCAAACATATGGATGGTGTAGAAAGAAATCCCCTTAAAAGAAATATATACATCATCATCGTTGAATATTTTTTTAATTAATTAGAGTTAGCTACATAAATCATAGTCTATTATTTTGCTCTATGAAATGGCATACCTTCATGAGGCTATAAATTCTCATAATTTTATCTGTTAAGTTCAACTATGTCCTTTTGGGCGTATTCATTGTTTTTTTTTAGCCTTCCACTTGACTAACTCGTAATTTTTCACAGGTGTTGTATTGAGTCTGCGCCACACATGATTTGTCCATCTAAGTCAATTCTCTCGTTTTGTTCTCTCATTTATCGTCTATTGTTGCCACACCCAAATCTCTCGAATGTATTAATTTTGAAATCTATCCCTTCTTGTCTTACCATTTATTTATCTCAACATCCTCATCAATGCTACACTCATTTTATGATTATATTATTTTTTAACCGTCCAACATTTTACTTTATATAGCAAAGTTGGTCTCATATCTCTCCTATAGAACTTGTTTTGCAGCTTCATTAGTCCGACTAATTTTAAAACTTTTAGATTCGAGGGCATCCTTTCAAAGTTCTAACTTTGTATTGACACTATTTTGGGTCTCATCAATCAAAACATTATCATATGCAAATAGCATGTATGATATCTCATCTTGTAGGTGCCTAATTAAATTGTCCACAATTAAGGCAAAGAGATACGTGCACAATGCTGACCCTCGATATAGACCTATTGGCATTAGAAACTCACGCGTCTCTCCACTGGTTAGCTCTCCATCTTAAAAATCTCTCACCAAGTCGATGTAGTGTTTGAATAGTCTTTTTTATTTCCAACACCCACTAAATCAAATTTCGAGGTACTATATCATAAGCTTTCTCTAGATGAATAAAGACCATGTGGAGGTTTTTTCCCTTCGCCCTAAACTTTCTCTATCATAAGCTTCTAGATCAGTTGCTTAAGTAGGAAAATAGCAACGATTGTTTACCTCCTTATAATAGACCGTATTGGTTTTCTGATGCATTCGTTTCATGCCTTAGTTATTGCACAATCAGTCTCTTCCATAGCTTCATAGTGTAGCTCATAAGTTTGATCCCTCGATAAATCGTACAATTTTATACGTCTCATTTATTTATGTAAATATGTACTTTTCCTCAATTCATCTAGCATTTTTTTTGTTCTCAACACCTTGTTGAATAGCTTGGTCAGCCCGTCAATGCCAATCTCCCCCATACACATCCAAACCTCCATTGGGATACCATCTGGTCCAAAAGCCTATTATCTTCATCCTTTTCAAAGCTTCGATCGCTTCCGATATCCTAAGCCTATGAATGTATCTATGACGTTCGCCCTCATTTATGCATACCATTCATTCTACTGTTATGTTACTATTTTGTTCATCATTTAATAATTTTTTAAAATAACTTTCAATCTTTCGTCGACCTTTTCATCTTTCACAAAGACCATTTGTCCTCATTCTTAATACATTTAATATGGTCTAGATCCCTGACATCTTTTTTCACATTTTCTAGTTCCCAATTTACTGTATAGATTATCGCAGGTCTTAAGTTTACCTTACTATTTGCTTTGCGTTTTTCTTAGTTTTTTTTTTCTTCTTCTAAGTTTTGATCATTTCTATTACACTGCCAAGTTTTATAACATGGTTGTTTTTCGTTAATGGTCTTGTAAACCTCATCACTTTAGCACCAAATTTTCTTATCGGAATTTCTTTTCCCTCTAGATTATCGTAAAACTTATTTTGCCACTTTCTTAATATAGTCAACCATCTCATTCCACATAATATTGACATCATGTTTAGAGTTCTATTTTCCTGCTTTAACTAATTTATCACTAAAAAAGTCTATTTTTTTATTTTTTAAATTTTACCACCTAGTAATTGGACACCTATTAATTTCACCTCTTATCTTTCATGTATTTAAACAGACATCCATAACCACGAGCCTATGTTAGGTAGGCAAATTCTCTCTTGGGATAATCTTGTAGTCTTTACATGATTGCCGATCTAACTTCTTAGCTAGAAAGAAATCTATCTGCCTTTTATGCTATCCATTTTTATATGTTATTAAATGTTTATCTCACTTTTTAAAGTAAGTATTTGTTATTTCTAGGTAGTAGGTCATCGAAAAATCTATAATAGCTTCACCTATCTCATTTCTTTTACCAAGCCCATATTCCACATGTACCCTTTCATATCATCTACTATCAAGCCCTACATTACCATTCAAGTCCCCTTCTAAAAATGTCCTCTCTCCATTTGGTATGTCGGACTATTCCATCTATTTCTTCTCAAAATTGTCTTTTAATTCTAGCATCTAATCCTACTTGTGGTGCATAAGCACTACTTACGTTAATTGTCTTTTCCTGTAATATAAATTTAATTAATAGGAGTTTATTACCTATTCTCTTGACATTAAGTATGTTGTCTTTTAAATATTTGTTTGCTATTATGCCCACGCTATTTCTATTAATACTTTTTCATGCATATCAAAGTTTATACTCATCTATTTCTTTAGCTTTTCTCCTTTCCATTTAGTTTCCTGTAGACATGCTATGTTTACACTCTTTCATCCCATTGTATCTACTAGTTCTATAATTTAATCAGTAACTGTTCCTACATTCCATGTGGCTAGACGAATCCTATTATCTTGGACTAGCTTCTTTTACCTATGTCGCTTGAACCCTTACGTCCTTTTACTACAACAAGACAGTGTTGCAACGTGTCGCTTTGGGGAACGCAGTAGCGACCCTTGCTCATTTCTCAATATACATTGGTTCCTAATGCAGCGCGTCCTTTCTGGGAAATATCCTAGTATAAGCAATATTGTAGGTTTAGATTTATGATAAGTTTTGATAAAGTTTTACATTAACATCCCATCGAAGACAACCCAACTCCTTTAAGCTGGCATGACATGACACAACACAACCCAACTCATTCATGTATATATATATATATATATATATGAGATTTCTAGAGTTAACCATTGTTAAACTAGCACAATGTTAGAATCACTTATGAATATTTTATGACCGCTAATGTCCTTTTACCGCTTTTGTGAGCAATATAGCCTTTTCAAACGATGGGAAAAATAAAAAAAGTCAGGCGCTTCTGTCATTGCCACGCCTCTTCTGTCCCAAAGTAAAAAAGCCCTTTTCCTTCTCTCATCTACCTCATCTCACTGGTTATCTTTCTCATCTTTCGCTTAAAAAACCTCTCACTTGGCCTGCAGAGGACCTGAAAAACTGCCCATCAATTTTTTTTTCTTTTCAGTGCTCGATTCTCGTACCGCTCGCCCCACTCCAGCGCCTTAAAATTGGAGCCTGGTAGCCAGAATCTGACGATGCCCTGCCGGAATCTGTTAAAGTTTCCCTAGGGCTTGGTGGTGTGGGCTGGGCTGCCTTCTTCCATGTTAACTCTTTTTTTTGAGGCTGTTTCTGTTCCTTTTAAGAGAAGGGGAAGTAAAGTAGTGCTTGTCTCTTTTGAAGAGAGGAAAGACGCAATTAGGTGTCATCCTTCTTCGGAAAGAGCAAGTGGAGTTTTTCTTGATCTGGTGGCTGCCTTGTCTTGAACAGTGAAAAGATGGATGGATGAGAGAGAGAGAGAGAGATGGGCAGATGAGATTGCGTAAAGGGTAAGGGCCTTTTTGCCCAAGAATTAATTCTTTTGTTTAACCATTCATTAATAAAAGATTAAGATATCTTTTGTTTAAGCGTTCACATCTATTATGTAAGGGTATTTAAGATAAAAATAATATTCACAAGTGGTTTTAACACTAAATGTTATTTTGAGGGTTATTAACTCAAGAAAATCTCTCTATATATATATAATATATGTACTTAATACTTTATTAAAAAAAAAAAAATATTATGAGACTATTTATTATTGATATAAGAAGGTTATAATCATTGAGCATTATATTTAAAATTGGGTGATTGATGATGTGTCTGGCATAAAATTTAAAATAAAATTTATTGAATGTTATGACATACTTTCATCTATTGGATAAAAAATGATTGCGAGCTTTTTGTATCAGAAATAAATAATATCATAGTATATATACAAGCCCTTTCAAAAATCCATTTTAAATATCGATTTTAGGAGGGAGACATACATATACATAAACATATGAGTCGGCCTTTCATAGAAACGACATCCATAAAAGCACTAAAAATACACACATGAATGCACGCAGGTATGGGTACACATAAACACACAAAAACAAAAGTCAAAAGATATTCTACTCCCTATGGTAAAACCTTTTTACCCATTTAGAATCAGTCTTAAGACCCTATGTAACACTTTC